CTACAAATAACGACACTTTGGAGGTGCCAGGTCGCAAGGTGGCTAGATTGGTCTCAACTAGGGCCAGGGCCTTTTCAGTACTGGCCCTGACTTGGTGGAACACTCTGTCACAAGAGACTAGGGCCCTGAGGGACTTGACATCTTTCCGCAGGGCCTGCAAGACAGAGCTGTTCCGCTTGGCCTTTGGTTTGGAGTCAGTCTGACCCTTATGTTTCCCTCCCCTTATGGTTTTGATTTATGGGCTACTCTTAAAATGAGGCTGCATTTTAAACTGTATTTTAACCCGCATTTTAATAAACTGGTGTTTGTTTGTTTGTTTGTTTGTGTCCCCCCCCCCATTATGTTTTATTGTAATTTTACTGAGCCTGGCTCTTGCCGGGGAGGGCAGGGTATAAATAAAAAATTATCATCATCATCATATTAGGGGGAAAGCGGGTCCAGCGGTCAAGGAGGAAGTTTCTGCATGTGCCATAAAAGGAAGTGAGGGGCAGACAGGGTTTGACAACTTGGGAAGATAGCCCATGTAGGAGAAGGAAGATTTTGGTCCTAAACCTTTGCTGCCTTGTGGAATAATCCCAAAGATGGTTGGATGGAGTATTGTACGCCTCCTTCCAGCAACTCCTGCAGCCAAGCTGGTGCCAAACATATTGCTCTGCTTTCCTTTGGACCAAATCAGTGAGGTCAAGAGGGGGGTCTTGTTGTCTGGGCAGCCCAGGACCGCCATGCATGCTGCCCAGGCGGTCATGTTGGTGCTGCTAGCACAGCAAAAACAACATGGGAAGCAGCAGTTGCAAGTTACCAGTCTCTGTTTGACTTCACCCCCCAGAGGCACACTCCCTTGTCTCTTGAGACAGATGGGTGCCAACAACAAGGGGGAAAGTGCTTGCAAACACGTATATCAGGGGAAATAGCTTCCATATTTTCATGGGGGGAAGAAATCGCAAAGTGATGTGAAGCAATGGAGAACGGAACTTAAGTTGGTAGTGCCTTGACTTTGGGTGTTTATAATACAGTTGGTGGTTCCTTGTATCCCACACCACCACCACCCCAAAAAGAAACCTCGGGAAATTAGAAGAGAAACAAACAGAGAGAAACAAAAAATGACCGATTGCTCCATCCCTAAATAACACAAACGCACACACATTAGAATGCAACGAAAGGTCTCCGCAGATGCATAGAACACATGCAGCCCTGGCGATTACAAGACTCTACATGTCTAGAAAAGAGCCCTGCCGCCTCACCTGAAATGTATTATTTTTTCCAAGGGCAACATTTAAAGCAACAAAGAACCTGAAAGATTGGGAGTAACAAAACTGAAAGGCTCCTGGAGAGAATTTATGATTTGCCAGAGGTGCGATTTCCTGCCCAGTATTATAACAGCATCGTTGTATATGGAGCGATTTGAGAAGCAACGTAGGCTGCCATTCCGGCTGATGTTTCTGCACTTATTGCTGTGATAAAGCACTTTAGGCACAGGGGACATCTATAACACTCCGATTATTATGATATACCTCTCTGGTTTAAAAAAAAAAAAGGTTTTCTCACTTTCATTATTTTGACAGGCAGATTCCATTCAAAATTCTACAACAATCATGTGCTTTTGTTTGTTTGTTTAGAGGGGGATTTAAAAAAAAAAAAAGATAAAGGGGGAGAGAAATGATCTTCTGTAGACCAGACGTCTCCAACCAGGTGCCCTCAAGATGTTGTTGGACTACAAATTCTATCAGCCATGTGCAGCATGGCCAGTGATCAAGAATGACCATATGCATTTTAGGTGGTTGGACTTAACAGATGATCCTGGAGGTCCCTTCCAAGTCTACAATTCTATGTTTCTGTGATATTCCACAACACCTAGTGGTGATGTAAATAAACCCTTTTCCCACCATAGCTTTTCAGTAACCTCTGGCCAAGGATGAATTAGAATTTGTGTTGCGGGAGGAAGAGAGTGTGGGAGTGTGATGGGGAGCTCTGGTTGCCAAACATCCTAGCCACCAAACATCCACTGCTTATTTATGTATAGACTGCCAGTCTATCAGGACAGCATACAACAATGCAGTGAAACATACAGCACCTTTTTAAAAGTACAAAAACCCACATTTAAATCAAGAATACTGCCTAGCGCTGTCAGTATAAAAAGGTCTCTAAGAGATGCATGAAAGCCCAATGTGAGGGTGTCTGTTACATCTCTGCTGGAACAACATGGGACAAGAAACACTACATGCCCAAGTTCCAGAGTACACCAGATGGGTCTCTGTAACATGGGGGGTGGGGTGGGCAGCTAGCAGAGCTCTTCCAGATTATCTGAGTGGTTCTGCTGAGATATAAGGACTCAGGTGGTCCTGAAGAACATAAGGACCCAAGCAGTCCTATAGTGATCAAAGTAGCAGCAGAGTCTGGAATATATAGAGAAGACCTGATTGTGGACCATACCACTTCAGACCATGGATGGAGGGGGAAGGTTACATCATGACTGAATGTTCTTCCATGTCAAAAAAAAAAATTCTCTGCACATAGAAAATAGATATCCATGAGAAGGATTCTTGTTGTTGTTTAGTCGTTTAGTCGTGCCCGACTCTTCGTGACCCCATGGACCAGAGCACGCCAGGCACTCCTGTCTTCCACTGCCTCCCACAGCTTGGTCAAACTCATGCTGGTAGCTTCGAGAACACTGTGCAACCACCTCGTCCTCTGTCGTCCCCTTCTCCTTGTGCCCTCCATCTTTCCCAACATCAGGGTCTTTTCCAGGGAGTCTTCTCATGAGGTGGCCAAAGTCTTGGAGCCTCAGCTTCAGGATCTGTCCTTCCAGTGAGCACTCAGGGCTGATTTCCTTAACACTTCCGGGGTGGCGCCATCAGCAATGGCGGACTCCCTCTGAACTGAAGGGACTAGCTCCGCGCGAAACGGGTCTTTTCCGCTACGGCAAAGCGGGGACGCTTTTAAAAATCACAGGCGGATGAAGCCTGTGACCATGGGACTTGGTGGGCACCCTTAGCGCCCCCCCAACCCGCAAAGGAACCCACTAACGGGCTCTGAAGCGAAGAGGGGGAAGCGGCGCGGTGCTGTGAGTCAACTGCTATTTCCGTGGAGCGAAGCCGCATAGCCGTTGCCGGAGAGCGCTGCCCTTTTCCTGGGACAATTTGGCTTCTAAAATAAGCACCCTTGAGTACTTAAACTTTGAACAAATTGGACTTTAAATAAGGATTTGCAAGCAGAAAGGAATTGGATTTAAAAATTTACTTCAATTTGGTACTGAAACGGGAAGGTCTAAACAGGAAGTCAGCCTTCCGTTTCTTTGTAGACAGAATAAAGCAAAGACAACGTAAACTAGAGCTCAGAAAATCGCTTCTAAAGGATCGGCTTTCATCATTTAAAATCCTCGAACCCCCCCTTCGGCAGCAGGAGAAGAAGGGGGATCTTTTTCAGACTGTTTAAACCTGCAGAAGTGAGTTTAAAGTAAAGTAACTTTCCACCGTCCTGATCCTGGAGCGGGGTGTCAGGACTGACGTTTGAAGCTCATTGACCAGAGATAAACGTTTTTGACAGATAGCTAAAAGAAGAGAAACATAGTGATTCCAATGTTTCCTTTCGCATTTTAAAGGAACAAATATTGACAAAATATCTCAAAAAAGAAACTTTGTTGCAAGAACAATTAGAAGTTTTCCCCCTAGAGGGAGACTGGGAAACTGTAACTAATTCCAGGGAGCTTGCAGCTGTCACAGATTACAATCGTGGGAAAAGGATTGTGACCTTGTAGGACAATGTATTCAGAAGCTCTGTTGTGTGCTCTCTGTAAAATAAATGCTCTACTGGAACAGTTAACTGAGAAGACGGATTTGATGACTAATGCAGTCAGAATTTTTGAACAGGCAGTGGGAAACTATATGGAGCCCACCCAGGAATTAAATCAGGAGTGTGCCCTGACAGAACAGATGAGAGAAGAGGATGTTGCGGAATCTTGGGCGCCAGAGATGGAGGGAGCCGTGGCCCAGCAGGAACATGAGCTTTTGGATTTGACAAATGAACTTGGAAAAAGCCAGATTAGGAAAGATAAAGTTTGGACTGATTTGGAAATGGGGGGTTGGATAGACCCCCCTATGCAGGGATGTTTGGACTTTCTGAGTCTGGCAATGGGCCGTGAGATGTTTGGAGCTGTGGAGGCTCTCAATTTTGGAGGGATTCTGAAACATGTCTTTAAATACTACATGGAGTTTAGTCTGGACTATGGAAAAGGGGCTGATTTGTTGAAAAGGGTCAAAAACATTACCAAGCTGGAGTTCCCACGAGTGGAAGGTGAATATGAAGAAGAGCTGCGGAAGGGACATGGAAGGGACTTAAGGGCCTCGGATATAAGGTTACCAGGTTAATGCGCTAGATCGATGGGATAAAAAGGACTGACAAAACCCGGGACCAGGAGGAAGGGACGCTGGATGAAGATTGGATTGTTTCTATTTCTTTTTTTTACTACTAGGATTGTTTTATAAAATTGATGACTGTTAGAAAAATGTTGGAACAAAATTACTTGGCTCTAGCAAAAATGTTTAAAATAAGATTTAAGTTTTAAGGTTTTTTATAAGATAAGATGAAAATAGATTAAGGTAATGTAATGACAGAATATTATGAAATATGGAAAGGATTTGCTGCGATAATTAATAACTGGGATACAAAAAAAGGGAGGAGGAGGAGGTCAAAGAAAGAAGGTAATGAAAGTTGAAGATTTGAGAATGTTGGTTTTATTTTTATATGTTTGTGGTGTATTTTTGTTTTTTGAATTTGTATTGTTGGATGTGGTTTGTTTTCTTTTTCTCTTTTTTGTTTCTTTCTTTTTTCTTTCTCTGCTTTGTCTTTTTCTGTAATTTTAAAAATTTTCAATAAATATCATTAAAAAAAGGGGGCTGATTTCCTTAAGAATGGATAGGTTTGATCTTCTTGCAGTCCATGGGACTCTCAAGAGTCTCCTCCAGCACCATAATTCAAAAGCATCAGTTATTCAGCGATCAGCCTTCTTGATGGTCCAGCTCTCACTTCCATACATCACTACTGGGAAAACCATAGCTTTCACTATAAGGGCCTTTGTTGGCAAAGTGATGTCTCTGCTTTTTAAGATGCTGTCTAGGTTTGTAATTGCTTTTCTCTGACATGCCACATATATAATAGATCTCCCCCCAGTGTAGAAACTTTCAGTCCTGTTGTCCCCCCAAACACACACACCCAGTCTCAAATGATAGTCTGCAAATACACCTCCCCCTGCAATGTGAAGTGGTACATTCTTATTTTCTTTTTTCTTGTGAACTGTGCTGAGATCTTGTGATCTTGTTGTTGTTGTTATCCTGCAAACAAGTTGACCACCTCACCTGCTCTTTGTGAGTCCTGGTCCCCAGTGCCACAGAATGAGGTGTTGGCTGAGAAGAAATATCAGGTGTCAAAGTCACACTTTTGGATGGATAATTTGTGGGGAAGCAAGGGAGCCGGGAAGACTGAACATCCTCTTCCCTTGCACCCCACAAATATAATACTGTCAGTTTAAGAACATAAGACCGTAAGCTGGATCAGGCCAAAGGCCCCTCTATTCCAATTTCTCACTGTAGCCAGCCAGATGTCTGTGGAAGCTTGTAAGCATGACATGAGAACAGCACTTGTGCTCCCCGACAACTGGTCTTCAGTAACATAATGCTTCAAGCCATGGACGTAGGAGCCATTTAGAGAAGGCACAGAGCAGTGTAGGTAAAGGGTGTAGCCTGGGGAGAGTCCTGAGAGCCTGATAGAGAGCTGTATTCGAATTGTGGTTCCCCATCCCCATTGTAGGGGGACGCAGGTGGCGCTGTGGGTTAAACCACAGAGCCTAGGACTTGCCGATCAAAAGGTCAGCGGTTCGAATCCCCGCAACGGGGTGAGCTCCAGTTGTTCAGTCCCAGCTCCTGCCAACCTAGCAGTTCAAAAGCACATCAAAGTGCAAGTAGATAAATTGGTACCGCTCCGGCGGGAAGGTAAACAGAGTTTCCATGCACTGCTCTGGTTCACCAGAAGTGGCTTAGTCATGACCCGGAAGCTGTACGCCGGCTCCCTCAGCCAATAAAGCAAGATGAGCGCCGCAACCCCAGAGTCGGCCACGACTGGACCTACTGGTCAGGGGTCCCTTTACCTTTACCTTTTTATCCCCATTGTAAGCAAGCAGACACATGTCAGGACTGTTCATATATAAAAGGAAAAGGGCCTGCATACAGGCCTTGACTGCTCATAGCCACTAGCTTTGCAAGTTAAGAGATCAGAAGGAGGACAGGCAGATGCTCAGGTTCCTAGCAATCCACACCTTTGAATAACTATGGAAAACATGTCAGATCCCAGAATATGGGCATAGATCAAAAAGGGTGTCTGCCCATGTTGACAGGACACTAATTAAATTGATCCGCGCTTTTATGATTTACCTATTTGGAGCTGTTGATTTTGCAAGAGTTGAGACAAACCACCTTGGTTTCCTGTAATGAAAAAGAGATTTGCATCTTCAAGGTAAGGAGCACCACCTGCTGGACATCCAGCATAGCCACCGACCTGGAAAACGGGATAAAGGTCCTTTTTATTATTATTTCAATCTCACAAGTGAGAAAACTGCAATGCAAAGCTACTGATTGATGCCATAGTACAACTAACCATCGCCCTTTAGCCCTTTTAGCGTCCCAGAGGTTTCATTTCAAAAGACTCAGCACAAGGCTGTTCCTGACTTGAATAATTTCCGCATTACAGCAATAGCGTGCTGCATAAACACAATCACATCCTTGGTTTGTAGCGCTGCATGCTCTTTCTGCTTGAATTATTTCACCTTGATGGAATATTGCAAACCCCTTGTAATGCCGATCAATATATGTGTTGCCGTAAATATCCTGAATTCAGCGACTGTTAACAACCTCAGACGAATGTCACGAATGTTGTATGTATATATTTTCTCCCTTTTCCAGACACACACTGGCAAACGTTGGCAATGGCTTTTGGGTGACTGTCAACATCCGCTACTCTACTACTGAGCTTTCAGTCTTTCACACAATTTGGAAAGTGATGTCGGGACATCTGCTTGGTATGCAGAATGTCCCAGTCTCAGGAATCTGCAGGGAGGGCTGGAAATTAATTCTGTCCAAAACCCTGGAGAGCCACTGCCAGTCAGCAGAGGCAGACCTCAGTAAACTGATGCCTACCCCCTGCCCTCAACTCTTGCACTGTCTTCCCAAAGCTTTGAAAAGGAGGCATGGGGGCTCTGGCAGAGCCCTAGAGCCCCCCAGTTCCTTCCCCAAACTGGGCAAGTGCTAACTAGGCTACTGGAAGTTGGCAGGATCCTGCCAGAGCCCTCACACCTCCTTCCCAATTAAACGAGAAGGGGGAGAACCATGTTGGCAGAGTAGCTGAATTGCAGCTAGGAAGCCGTATCATGTGCAATATGTTAGTTTCTGTTCTTATTACTGAGCAGCTGCATGGAGTCACAGGACTCTGTTTACATTCCAGAGACCCAGTCTCATGGGAAAGGAGATGGGATGTGACGTTAGTGGTTTCCTGTTTCCTTTGTTCCTTTGTTCCTTTGTGCAGTTGCTCTCTGCTCTCACAGGGAGAGGATGTAGATTTCTTTGCTCTCTGCATAGCTAGAAAATAAAGCATAGCAATGTAGCTCATACTATCTCATCCTTCCGCATGCTGTTTTGATGCTCTGCTGGGACGACCTGCCTGAGGCCTTATCAAAGGATCAGGTCATCAATTAATCGTTGGGAGGCGATTCTGAAGATGAGCCTTATCAGCTCTGTCGAACGGAGTTCTGACACAATACTGACTCTTTTCTTGAAATTAAAACAATGTCCAAACACTTGTTAAAATATTCAAAAACTTTTACAGTCATATCTTGGATATCAAACCCCTTGGCTCCCGAACAAATCGGCTCCCAAACGATCGAAACCCGGAAGTGAGTGTTCTGGTTTTCGAACAATTTTCGGAAGCCAAACTTCGGTGCTGCTTCTGCGGCTTCTGATTGGCTGCAGGAGCTTCCTGCAGCCAATCAGAAGCCGAACTTCGGTTTCTGAACATTTCAGAAGTTGAATAGACTTCCGGAACGGATTCCTTTCGACTTCCAAGGTACGACTATACTTGCAGAACATATAGCTAAAGAAGAGAATATGCAAAGTATTTACATTCACATGCTTATCCAAGAATGGGCTTAGTTTCTCTTAGTTGAAGATTGCAGCTTCTTCCTCAAACATTCAAACAAACTCTGTCTTCTTCTCTTTCCAGGACTTGCACTCAGCCTTCTCTATATGACCCAACTAGGCCAGGCAGTTCGTTCCAATAAGTTTCTACTTTCTCAGACCCTCCAAGTGTCCCTATTTTCCAGGGATAGTCCCAGATTGACAGAAGCAGTCCCAGTTTCTGATCTGATCCCAGAATGTCCCACTTTTCCTTAGGATGTCCCTGTTTTCACTGGGAAAATGTTGGAGGAGGTGGAACAGGACATTCCCAATACTTTTTCCAACTGAAACTCAGTTCCAGTACCTCTCAGATCGGTGCCATTGCCATTCTGAGGGAAGTGTTCATGGTGAGTTCCAGCCCCTCTTTTTCTAGAAAAATAGTGCTGGACATCCCTATTTTCATCAGAGAAATGTTGGCGGGTATGCTTTCTCCTTCCAGTAGACTTCTCCTTACTGCTTCTTTGGGAGAACATCAACTTCTGTACTTCTTTCTATCACATACATTCACACAGAAACATTAGTATTCCTCTCCTCTATTGTGTTTAGAGAGAGAGTTATCTAACACTTCCTTCTTCAGTGTTTGTGGAGATGGCAGCCATTACAGTCAAGACACTCTCACCCAAAACAAAATGGAGAATGTAATAAGATAGCTCCTGTGTGACCAGAGTTAACCAATCACATGAAAGTTACCGGGAAACATCTCAGAATTATGCAGTAATGCATTAAGCATTCCCAATTTCAGTAAATTAAAGCACTATACTTAACAGGAAGGACGTCTGGGGTGATCGCTCTAAGCCCAGGCAGCCTCATGGCTTTAACAAAGCCCCATTTGTGTTTCTATACAAATAATTTGGAAACAGTCTACCATCCAAACTCCATGTATAATGGAGGTCTGGACCTGACTACACCAGGGTTCAGATTTTGTGCATGGCTTACAAGCCATTTTTGTGTCTCTAGATCAATAATTAAGGAACACTTTGCCAACTTTTGTAAACTAAGTTTCGCCGCCTGTGTTTTCTGACTGCTGTATGGAAAAGCACATGAACCTTAACAAGTTTGTAAGTAAAAACTTTTTTTTTTCCAGCTTACCAAGCTATGTGACGTTTCTGTGCTAAAGCAGAAGAAAGGGGAAGTTTTGGAAAGAAACTTAAAAGGGGATATTTTACAGGTCTAACAGGCCTATATTTCCACACTTTACTTTGCTGCATGTTTTGTGATTTTAAATATTGGCTGTGGCTCTCTTACCAAGATAATATTTGCCCTAAACCTAGATATAGGCATCCACATGGAGCAAGGCAAATCTGCTGTCTCACCGGATTCTGTTCTTATCTTATTGCTTCAAAATACAGAGCTCCTGCCGTCTACCAACACAGGGAACTGTCATTTTATTCTTTTAAACTTAGCCACCAGATAACCCACAATTACCACTCTGCAATTTAGAACCTGCAGCCAGGCAAAGATGCAGTGGAGAGGGTGGGGTGAACTGGCTCATTCCTCTTCCCTGCTCCTCACGTGATCTCCATTGTATGATTTTACAGTCCTGAACAGAGCCAGAATGTAGCTACATGGACTCACATCCATCTCTTTCGACCCTGGACTCAGACTCTCCTTCTCTTGCCTTCCACACGGTCAGATTTAGCTTCTAATCGCCTTGGGGGTCAGGGGCCTGCCATTTCTCCCTCTAAGAAATACTAAAAATGCCATGTGCATTTATGTTTATGCGATTTATTCATATAATGAAAACATATAGGCTAGCCTTTCTCCTCTCAAGAAAAGGGCCCTCAAGGCACGGCGCAACAACAGCGACAAAAATGTAAAACAATCAATCAATACAATAAAAAGAGTCTCGTAAAACAAAACACGAAGAGCAGCAGTGAAATCAGAAAAGCAGGAGCAGAAATAACCAGCCAGCAAGCAGTCTCACCCACAGCAAACAAGGGTGGAGGGGGATAACTAAACTGATAAGAGAAGAGACCTTTGAAAGGAATGGGCTTTGCTAAGCATTGGAATATCAACAAAGAATGAGCCAAGGCCATTCGCCAGTCTGGGTGCAGCAACCAAGAAGGCCCTGCCCAGCGTCCCTCATCAGTTCCTTCCTTCCCATTCTTTTCCTCCTTACTTATTATTTATTTTAAAAGTATGAATTCCCTCTTTCTATCTGAAAGCAGCTGGAAAGGGCTGAAAAAATTCTGCTGGTTAAGTGGCTTGAGGACATGATGTAATTTTTCCACAGCTGCCCAAGAACAAATGGATAGGCTTCGTGTGTGTGTGTGTGTGTGTGTGTGTGTGTGTGTGTGTGTTGCACCCTAAAGTCAGAAAGGAATTACTGCCACTTACTTTCCATAACTCTAGTGGTCTGTTAAATACACATCTGCAAGTAACCCCATCACACCCAGTGGGGCTTGCTTCTGAGTAGACTTGCCTGGGATTAATAATTCTAATCTGAGGTAGCCATGGTGAAAATAGGAGCAAATTTATTCCAGGTCAGTTAATCCATGACACGTTCGTCTCTGGCTCTGTCCATCATTGCCTCTGTCTCCACCCATTGCCAGCATGAAATCCCCGCGAAAGAAGAAGAAAATCCACATGCCAACAGTTGGACGGAGAGTATGACTTCCAAGAAAGATTTTAGTGGGTGGCTAGGATGATGTGAAGCTGCTCTCTCAAGTGCAACAGCCAATCTTTAATCTTAATATGCACAGCCATTTAGATCTGAACTAAGGTTACCAGATTTCCCCGTTTCCCGGGGACAGTCCCTGAATTTACAAATCAGTCCCCACACACCTAGCAGTTCAAAAGCACATCAAAAGTGCAAGTAGATAAATAGGTACCACTCTGGTGGGAAGGTAAACAACGTTTCCGTGCACTGCTCTGGTTCGCCAGAAGCAGCTTAGTCATGCTAGCCACATGACCCGGAAGCTGTCTGTGGACAAATGCCAGCTCCCTCGGCCTATAGAGTGAGATGAGCACACAACCCCGGAGTTTTCCGTGACTGGACCTAACGGTCAGGGGTACCTTTACCTTTACCCCCATACAAAATCCATTGAAGTTGAAAAGTGTCCCCAGATTCATTGAAAAAAATCGGGTAACCTTAATCTAAACATAGATATATTCTCATGTTGCAAAGTGGGAAGCTTGTACATGTGAGGCTTCTGCTGGATTTTCCTCACATCGTTTTGTAAAACCTACATTGTCATTGACCGAAAACAATAAAATCTTACAGTCCTGTGTGCCCATTTTCCTTCTGTGCTTCATCTCTCAACGATGGCACTCACATGCAGCACAAAGCAGTAGCTCAAAGCAGTTTAATTTTTTAAAAAATGATGTGAAAACAATCTCAGGTTGCAATTCAAAATATACTTATTGGGCAGTAAAGCCTGTTGAACTCCATGAGGTCGACTTCTCAGTAAACATGCTTAAGAAGCTCAGTAATGCCGTAAAACCTGCTACCTGTCCAAAACTACCTGGTGAGTTTTGATTTATTTATTATGTGCCTTTTTATTCCCCTGAGGACCTCAAGGTGGTGCACATGGTTCTCCTCCTCCCCATTTCATCCTCACAACAGCCCTGTGAGGTAGGTTAGGCTAAGAGACGTTGACTGGCCCGAGGTCCCCCAGTGAGCTTCATGGCTGAGTGGAGATTCAAACCCTGCTCTCCCAGGTCATAGTCCAACACTCTAACCATTACGCTACACAGGTTCTGTGGTCTGGCTGAAACAAGAACCAAAGGTTCGCAGTCTCTTCCTCTGTTAACCCAGAGGGTGATGATGGGGAAACTATAGTGCTCCAGATATTGCTGGACTCTTGCTCCCATCATCCCGAGTCAGCATGGCCAATAATCAGGGATGCTGGGAGTTGCAGTCCAGCAACATCTGGAGGACCCAAAAGCTCCCCAACCCTGCCATAGATTATTCTGAATTTGAAGGAGGACGTGGAGGTGAAGGTTAATCTACCCGTAAGAAGAATTTCTCCTTTTCAAGTAAAAATGCTCCACTACTTCAGTGATTAATGTCACTACACTGTGCTGATTTCACCACCTCATAATTAAACAGGAGGCATTCGGCTGTACAGCAGTCGAGCATTATAATGGGTTATGCATTAGCTCCTTTACCCTGCAATTTCCTAACCTATTTTCCACTTTTGTTGTTGTTGGGGAACATAATGCAATCATATATTCAACACCAAAGACTCGAGTGATGACCTCCAAATTTTCCTGGAGGAAGGAAACTCTGTTGCCACTGATTGTAGCCTCGGTCCACCTGCTAAATTGAAATCGCACTCGAGAAGTAAATTTCCAGTGGAGCATTATCTGTGCAATTCCCATTAACAATACCAAAAAAAATCCAGCAGCAGTTTTCCCCACCTTTTTTTGATAAATGGTGCTGAAAATTGCCCAAGTCTTCACATGAGTAATGAAGGCGACAATAAAAGGAGGAAAGGAGTGGGGAAAGTGGCCGAGCTGGAAAGAGTTTGCCCTTTGGTTCCTGCTGTCATATAATTTATTTCCTGGTCCCTTCCACACACAAACCACTTCCATCCTAGCAGGCTCAGAGGCAGCACATGGCAAACGGGCAAGTGCTGGAAGTCTCAGGTGCCAGAAAGGTCTCCACCTGGTGCTGGGCTTCAGCCACCACTGTTGGTCTTCCTGCATCTTGCTGTGACTGCTACTGGCCATTTGCTTGCACATGTCAGTAGCCAGAAGGCATGAGGGAGCTGCTGTGAAGAGCTCCAAGGCCACACCTGAACTCACCCACACAAGAAGAGCCAAGATGGCCCATCTTGTCCAGCATCCTGTTCTCACAGCGGCCAACCAGGTAAAATGTAAAGGACCCCTGTGTAGGAATGATTGCTGGGTGCGGAGCACACTCCCTGCCCGCGGGCAGCCTCAGCTGCCTGCATGCGTGATCTTGGGGTGCAGGGCACACTCCTCCTCACAGATAAAGCCACAGCTGTCTGAACATCTTGCCCTCTGTCTAACCTTTTGCGATCTCAGTAGTTTGCTGTATCCTGTCTGTGACCTTTGTCTCTGAGACCTTTGTCTCCTTCATTGTGCAAAGGGAAAATGACACGGTGGAAACAGATGGCAAAATAACTTTGTACCACCCCACAATCTCAGGACTGGAAGATGTGTAAAGGTCACAGCCCAAAATGTATCTGCCTGGGTTTGCATATTGTGTCAATAAAAGGAGCCTCCACAGAGCTGGCCAGCAGCTCGCTTGCAGATCACCTGCATTATCAACTCCTGCCTCATGTCCTTCACTTCACTCCAGTCAAAGACAACTCTGGGATTGCGACGCTCATCTTGCTTTCAGGCTGAGGGAGCCAGCATTCGTCCACAGACAACATTCCACATCATGTGGGCAGCATGACTGGTGCAACGGGACACTGTGACGGAAGCCAGAGCGCATGGAAATGCCGTTTACCTTCCTGCCACCTATTTATCTACTTGCACTGGCATACTTTCAAACTGCTAGGTTGGCAGGAGCTGGGACAGAGCAACGGGAGCTCATCCCATCATGGGGATTCGAACCGCCAACCTTCTGATTGGCAAGTCCAAGTGGCTCAGTGGTTTAGATGCCTGTGTCCCAGATATCTGGGGGAAACCAGTGAGCAGAAGATGAGCACAAGAGCAACTCTCCCCTCCTGTAGTTGCCAGCAACTGGTATTATTTTCTTTCTTTCTATCTATCTATCTATCTATCTATCTATCTATCTATCTATCATCATCATTAATTTTATTAAATTTCTATACTGCCCTTCATCCGAAGATCACAGGGTGGTTTGCAATATAAAATCACAAAAATAACTCCTCCCCACCACCACAACAACACACAGTTTAAAAGGCCATTGGTTATTGGCTGTCATCCAGTCCATTACTGAGGCACTTCCACTGCCACATCTGCAGATGTAAAAGAGAAGTAGAGCTGTGTGTCATTGGCATATTGCTGACAATGTATTCCGGATGACCCTATTCAGTGGTTTCATGTAGATGTTAAATAGGAAAGGGGATGAAATTGAACACCGAGGAACCCCACATGGAAGGCTCCACAGGGCTGAAAAGCACTCCCCAAGCATCACTCTCTGTAAACGATTGTCCAAGTAAGACCAAAACCACTGCAAAGTGGAGCCACTCCTAACTCAGCCGTTCCGGAAGGATACCTTGGTTGATGGTTACAAAAGTTGCCAAGAGATCGGGGAGAATTCAGACATTTCCCTGTCTCTCTCCCAACAGAGGTAAACCAAATCAGTTTTTGTGCCAAAACCTGGCCAAAACCCAATTGAAATGGATCTAGAAAATCATTTTATATTTATTAATGAAATTTGCATACAGTGGTACCTTGGTTTATGAACTTAATTCATTCAGGAGGCCCGTTCTTAAACCGAAGCTGTTCTTAAACTGAGGCGCATTCCCTAATGAGGCCTCCCACATCATGTGGGCAGCATGACTGGTGCAACGGGACACTGTGACCACCAATGCCCTTCCACCATTCGGATTCCGTTCTTAGACCGAGGTAAAGTTCGCTAACCGGAACACTACTTACAGTTTTGCAGAGTTGTTATACCGAATAGTTTGTAAACAAAGCTGTTCTTAAACCGAGGTACCACTGTACTGCCCTTCATCTGAAGCTCACAGGACAGACATTAAAACATGAAAGACTACAAACATAAGATTTGCCGGGACCCTGATCTGTTGGGTTCAACTTTCATCGCTTTTCACAACATTGTTTTTGATACAATTTATTTAGCTATCATCATCATTGATGTCTAATCTGAACTGTCTTACTGCTGAAACGTGTATTCATTTTAGCTTCTGTCTCATTGATTGACTGTTGAAGTGATGATGTTAACCATTCACATTCATTATTTTAGTCTCTACTTTGTCTTATCCCCCCTCTGTGACTTGAGCCAAAACACACAGACACTGCAGTCAATGTGTGTTAATATGAATCTATGAGATTTCTTAACATAGTCAAAAAATAGGCTTTACTTGTATTTTGTTAGCTGAACTGTGAGTCTGGTGCATATATTTTTTGCAATAACATTTGGATTTGAATTTCTACTCAGAATACTTTAGGTGTCCTTCTCAAGGATGACTCTGGGCTGGAGTCTCTATAGTGGCATGTGGAGGTGAGGGTTTCATTCTGGATAATCCTATCCACCAATCAGGTCTAGCTCCCATTTAAATTTCCCACGATGCAATGCAAGAAAATTCAGAAGAATTGAAATGGTAGTCTCTCCAACTACCTGATGCTGTTTGGATTGTCACTTCTGCCCACCACTAGGGCAGGCAGAGAAATGCAGTTTGATTTGCATGTCAGTGTGAACCTACCTATGTAATTCACACGTTCCAAAAGACAATGAGCTGAAACACAGTCAGCCTTTGAAATTTGCACTTCTCTGAATTTTGTGGTGGACCAAGAAAAAGTGTGCAGAAATGCATTTATTGGGGGGAGTGTATACAAAAAAAATGCATATATCCATGAAAATAACAAACAAAAATGTATTGTTAAAGAATAATACTTGCCCCAAAAATGTGTATGTTAGGAAAAATTGCTTAGAAAAAAATGTGCATATTCAGACAACATGCTAATGACTTTTTTTTTGTGAGGTCCTACAGACTGGAAAAAATAAGAACATGACCAAAAGCAAAACTGTCTAGAAGAAGAAGAAGAAGAGTTTGGATTTGATATCCCGCCTTTCACTCCCCTTCAGGAGTCTCAAAGCGGCTAACATTCTCCTTTCCCTTCCTCCCCCACAACAAACACTCTGTGAGGTGAGTGGGGCTGAGAGACTTCAGAGAAGTGTGAGTAGCCCAAGGTCACCCAGCAGCTGCATGTGGACGAGCGGAGACGCGAACCCGGTTCCCCAGATTACGAGACTACCGCTCTTAACCACTACACCACACTGGCTCTCCCCACCCACCCCTGTGATTTAAGTCCAGCAGAACTCAGATTACGAGACTACCGCTCTTAACCACTACACCACACTGGCTCTCCCCACCCACCCCTGTGATTTAAGTCCAGCAGAACTCATTAGGTAGGAAGGGTCCTTTGCCTGGACTCCCCTCAAATCCGGCATTCGCCCAGCCAATGGAGTATGTGAAAGAATCTCTGCCCTCAAGTGCTCCCAGCTGCATGCTGTTCCTACAAATCCAATTATATCACACAGAAAAACCACTTTCATCCTCTGTAGGGGCCCCAAAACATAGGGAGATTCTAATCCTGGATTTCTCAGCCAGGCAAGGGGTGGGGGAATCCACCGCTCAGAGCCACCTTCGTTTTGGAGTTATGTGAATAAGGGTGGCAGGACTGAGCTGCAGAGTGATAATAGCGTGGGAGGATAATTGCTATAATTCAAACGTCAAGAAGCCAGTCAACCTCTTGTGTTGCTGCTCTCCTTTCCTCTCCTTTGTGCTTCTCCACCTGCTGTAACCTAGTCTCATTCCGATGGCGGGGTCTTGGCACCCTCTCCTGCTAGAAGAAGATAACTCTCTCTTTTTTTATCCCCCTCACCTCCTGCATTCGAAAATAATTTCAAATCCTAGGGAATTATCCTTTAAAAAATGTAAATGGATTTGGAAAAACAGATAGGACAAAAAAAAGAGAGAGACCCAGGAACTATCCAGCATAACTTTCTGCTGTTTGAAATGTCAAAACAATTGTACACCATTTACGGGAGAATTTAGCAAAACACAGGAGATGGAGTGTTTTAGCAGTTGCTCACAAATTCCTCAGCAACCCACAGATTCCGACGCGATAATGGCATCTACACCAATTTCCAACTTCCAACAGGAGTCTGTTAGGTTGCTTTTGGCTTATATTATAAGACGGGGGTGAGGAATATGTCCCAAACTACAACTCCCATCATCCCTGACCATCCTTGAACTCTTCTCCATTCCCACTTTCTTCCCACCTGGGGCAGCCCTGCCCTCTGCCTGCCTCTCAGAGCTGGCGCATCACACGGGACTGGTCCTCCGTGGCAGCAGCCTCTTCTGTTGAATGGTCTCTTTAAATTTGAAGGTTCATTATTGTTCCACAAGATGTGCATTTCTTTAAGGGCCAGAGCAAATAATGTGACCTAGTTTTACAGCTGTGAAGCAGTAAAGCAGGTGCTGTTATGTTAATTAAGCTGTTGGGTATAGTATATAAAGAGTAGCACGAAGCTCTCTCTGTACCCTGGGGAATGGGTGTTAGTTTCTGTTTGTACCACTGTGCAGTTGCTTGGAGTCACAAGACTCTGTTTACATTCCAGACATTCCAGGCTGTTGGAAGTCTCGCAGGAAACGGATGTGATGTTACTGTTTCCTGTTCCTTTTTTTTCAGTTGCTCTCTGCTTTCACAGAGAGAGGATGTTTCTTTTCTGTCTGCATAGTTAGAAATAAAATGCTCTTTACGATGTAGCTCATAAATCTCATCACTTCTGCTGCTTTGATTCTCTGTGTAACGAGGGAACGTGCTTGGAGCCTCATCAAAGGCTCAGGTTGTTAATTGTCATCGGAGGCGATTCTGAAGGACTCGACCGCAGGAGGAGTAGCTCTGTAGAGCAGAGATTCCGACAATGGGTTGGTGGATGGGGCATGCTTATTGATATATTTAATGTAAAAGGAGTTTTTGTTTTTATTATTAAAGCCTAGCAAAAGTTATTTTGCATTCCTTGTAATGTGTGGTCTCCCCAGCATGCCTTCTGCAGTGCAACTAATAGCCAACATCTTTGGTTATGGGCTTTGGTTACGAGCTGCCCGAGGGAGGAGGCCAAGAGTGGAGGCCATGGAAAGGCTTCAGGGTGCTTCCTTGCAGCCAGCACTGCCACCACTGCCAGCACTCAGGACAAGTGTTGGCTCATCCTCCACCATGAGCTAGGCGCTGGCAGGGGAAATAGAGACATTCCAGTATCAAATCAGAAGCCGGGTTGGCTTTCATAATTCTGAGACTGTCTCTGGAAAATCAGGACACTTGGAGAGTATGCCATTGTTTTCAGGCAAGGGTTTCCCATCACACCTGGAGATTGCAGGAACTGGACCTGGGACCTTCCACATGCAAAGATCACTCAGTTGCAATCCTTCCGTTATGCCAGGGGAACAAAGGCTAAAAGTTTGTGGCCATTTAGGAATGAGTCGCAGTTCAATCTAGCATTTTGATCCTTCCTGGGAAGAAGGGAGTCAGAAATCCCAGCTGTCTTCCCCTTCACTCTCATGGCCGTGCATATGGTAATCAGCAGTGCGGTGGAAGCAGCGGGGTAAAATATTGGGGGCACAAATGGAGGAAATTGCATTTTAGCGGCACAATGCATTTATGGAAGGTATATTTTACATTCAAACTTCAATCCTAGGGATGGGAGAAACAGTTTTCGTTTCTCATTTCCCCAATCCTAAATTTTGTTCTCGACATTTCTGCATCTGTTTGCATTTTTTTTTTTATTATTAAAAAGACCTCACCCAAAAAAATACTATCAGGATTTATCTCCTAATTAATCTCCTAATACATTTTGGGCATGCAGTCTTGCCTAATATATAATTCTTAGCAAACAGTTTTTGTGAAAATATGGTGTAATGGTTAAAGTGCTAGAACAGGACTTGGGAAACCAGAGTTGAAATCTCCACTCAGCCATGAAACTCACTGGGTGACCTTGGGCCAGACACTGTCTTTCAGCCTAACCTATTTCACAGGGTTATTGTGAGGATAAAATGAGAAGAGAACCGGGAATGCCACTTCAGAGAAAAGGCAGCATTTGTTGTTGTTTAGTCGTGTCTGACTCTTCGTGACCCCATGGACCAGAGCACACCAGGCACTCCTGTCTTCCACTGCCTCCCGCAGTTTGGTCAAACTCATGCTGGTAACTTCGAGAACACTATCCATCTCATCCTCTGTCGTCCCCTTCTCCTTGTGCCCTCCATCTTTCCCAACATCAGGGTCTTTTTCAGGGAGTCTTCTCTTCTCATGAGGTGGCCAAAGTATTGGAGTCTCAGCTTCACGATCTGTCCAGTGAGCACTCAGGGCTGATTTCCTTAAGAATGGAGAGGTTTGATTTTCTTGCAGTCCATGGGACTCTCAAGAGTCTCCTCCAGCTCCAGAATTCAAAAGCATCAATTCTTCGGCGATCAGCCTTCTTTATGGTCCAGCTTTCACTTCCATACATCACTACTGGGAAAACCATAGCTTTAACTATACGGACCTTTGTTGGCAAGGTGATGTCTCTACTTTTTAAGATGCTGTCTAGGTTTATCATCGCTTTTCTCCCAAGAAGCAGGCATCTTTTAATTTCGTGGCTGCTGTCACCATCTGCAGTGATCATGGAGCCCAAGAAGTAAAATCTCTCACTGCCTCCATTTCTTCCCCTTCTATTTGCCAGGAGGTGATGGGCCCAGTGGCCATGATCTTCGTTTTTTTGATGTTGAGCTTCAGACCATATTTTGCACTCTCCTCTTCCACCCTCATTAAAAGGTTCTTTAATTCCTCCTCACTTTCTGCCATCAAGGTTGTGACATCTGCATATCTGAGGAAAGGCAGCATATAAACATAATAATACATAAGCAATATAATGCACTGGAGTGGGTGAGATTCCACTGAATATGAATTCCCCTAATGCACACATTTTTGGACACAACTTTGGGTCAGAGAATGGCATCGCAGAATTTGGGAACATCCCGTGGGCAGGTGTGTGTGTGTGTGTGTGTGTTACCATAGCTTTAGTGCTGGGATGTGCCTAATGACTAAAAGCAAAAGTCTGTGTGACTCAAATCTTAGCATGTTTGGTCTTGGGCAATTAGAATAAAAATCATTTGGGGTCAAAACAGTGTTAACTCTCCAGCTCTGTGCACGATTCCATGTCCTCATCTTTTCAAATAGAGTATCTCCGTAGCAACAGACAACACACTTTTTTCCTTTCCCTCAGGTCATCTTGTTCTCAGATGATACAGAAATAGTCTGCTTGAAGCTAAAGGGCTGTTAATAGCACTGCAACTCTTTCTCAGTATGTGAGGCAGATGAACTGCCCTTGAACTCTGCAGGGGCCTTCGGACGCTATTCAGAAAGGATTAAATTCCATCCATAGGGAAGCCAAAGGGCGCTGAAGTCACTAGAACTATAGGACAACACTGATTTGAGCCTCCTCATTATTGTTGTTGTTTATTAAATTTGTTTATCTTGTCCAGGAAAACCCCTTAATCCCGATTTTATTTTGTCTTATTCTTTGGCAGATTTACCAAAAGAAAAATACACACGAAAAAACAGATTTTAGAAAGGGGCAAGATTAGGCACAGAAGCACAAAGTATTTTTCCCAATAAAAAATAGGAAAACTCCTTGCACTCCACTCTCTCTTTCTTCCTGCCCAGGGTGACCCTTCCCTCTGTAAGACCCTCAGAGCTTTATGGCTTGTTTTCACTAGATAAGAATCTGACCCATTGCTTTTTTCAGAGACTTGCATAGTCTACAAAGACTTTCAGAGACTTATAAGACTTATGTTTATTTGGTTCTGTGGTTTCAAGAGAATCCATCAAGAGTGCATATTTTGTGGCTTTAAGAGATTTATAGATTTCTGTTTACAGTGGTACCTCGGGTTACATACGCTTCAGGTTACATACGCTTCAGGTTACAGACTCCGCTAACCCAGAAATAGTGTTTCAGGTTAAGAACTTACTTCAGGATAAGAACAGAAATTGTGCTCCGGCGGCGCGGCGGCAGCAGGAGGCCCCATTAGCTAAAGTGGTGCTTCAGGTTAAGAACAGTTTCAGGTTTCTGAGGTAGATTGATTTATTGCTCAGATAAGCCTGGTCCGGCACGCTTCCCCCATCACGGGCCTCTGTATTCCAATGGTCCGACATCTGAGCATAGCAGGGTTCGTCAGCGGTAAGAGGAAACCAAAGAAAAAAAACTCCAGTGCATTCTTCAGTGTGCTTAAACAAAGTCCACACAGGATCTTAGCAGCTAGAAGCAGTTTTATTTACAGCAGGCTATCCATTATCTATCACAGCGAACAGCATCGCGAAAACACGTCCTCTCTCCTCAAAAGCGAAAGTAGAGAGACAGAACAAAGACTTGAGTCTCTCGGAACTGACGTAGCTCCCCCCTCCCAACTGTAGGCAGGGCGTACATTCTGAGCTGTTTAACCCTGTAAGCTCAGGTTCTCTTCACACCCCCTCTCGCCCTGCGCTACTGTGGGGAAAGTAAGTACAGAACTTACCCCCAACTCCAAACCACCACAAAACTCCCCATGACGCTGGAAGCTTAAAGGTTTGGTAAATCCATCGGCCAGGTTACTGTGACTGGCACAGTATTTCAGTCGTATCAAACCTGACTGAACACTCTGACACACATTTCGGAAACGTATGTCCAGGTGCTTGGTTCTCGCCTTAAATTGCGCAGATTCAGCCAACTTCAAACAAGGCTGATTGTCTTCCCAAACCGTGATGGGCAAGCTACAATCCCCATAGATCTCTTGCACCAAGCATCTATAGAACTCTAGTTCTCGGCACAAGTCTGACAGTGCACTGAATTCAGCCTCAGTAGAAGACAGCGCAATGAGACTTTGCTTCCAGGACTTCCACCCAACCAGTGACTTCCCAAACTTTATCACCAACCCAGACACAGACTTGCGGTCCTGCGAATTCGCCCAGTCACTGTCCACATAGCATATGAGCTTCGCCTCACCTTCAGCTGGCAGCTTAAGACAGAAGTCTTTGGTATGCTGCAGGTAGCGCAGTACCCGCTTGATACCGTGCCAAGCACTCACACTGGGCTTTGACGCTTCCCTACTTAGCAGGTTGGTAGCAAAGGCAATGTCTGGTCTGCTCCATTGGGACAGATACAACAGACTACCTAGAGCTGACTGAAAGAGTTCAGCATTCTCAAACTCAGCACTTTCTGCTTGCTGGCTATCTTTCACGAAGTTCGTCTCCATGGGTGTCCGAACTCCTGCACAATCGGACATTCTGAACTTCTCAAGCAACTGCTCAATCTTGCCTTTCTGACTCAGCAAGAAGCTACCATCCTCAGTTCTCGCTATCTGGACACCTAGGTAGATCTTTACTGCACCCAGGTCCTTGAGCTGAAACCGTTTCCCAAGCTCTTTGGCAAACTTCTGCACCTGTTTGTCTGCCTTTCCAACATGGATGATGTCATCAACGTAAAACAACACCAGTTCCTGTGAGTCTCCTGATCCTCTAAGGAACAGGCAACTGTCAGCAAGACTCTTCCTGAAACCTAGCTTCTCCAAAGCTTCATTCAGGCACAAGTTCCAATTCCTGGCCGACTGCTT